ATGACATGTGTTACACATGTACCAACCAACGCAATCTATAGACGTCGACTACTTGCTCCAAAGGGCGACCGCGGTTGCCTGAAACTCTGGACCTAAATTAAGCGTTGTTCGCCCGTTGCCCTACCAGATTCGTGTGGTGTTGCGTACGCAGTAGTGTTCAAACACCGACAGTCTATTCTTATCCTGTCTTCTTAATGGCCGAATTTCTGCACCGTATATCAGAACTGGTCGAACTGCTGTAGCATACACTCAACCCCTCACTGACAGCCGGATGTCGCGATAGTGGCATAAATGTCCCAGGTTGGCAAACGCCAACTGAGCCTTCTGTATGCATGCCAAAACTTTATCCGTGATGCGTTCCCCGGGCGAGATGTAGCTGCCCAGATAGCAAGAATTGTTTACTGTCTCTATCACTTTTCCAGTCAGTGGGGTTGGGAGCTTTACCAGCCCAATCCAACAGCAACATTTTACACTTTGAAGGTGCAAAAGCATACTGAACAAAGCTACAGTAACACTCAAAACACCCAGAAAAGCTTGCAACTGACCTAGAAGTGCACTTAGAAATACAGTGTCGTCTTCATACTCCGGGCCCGGCAGCCTGCCACCTGGTAGCAAGTCGATGCCTCTATCCTCGCTTGAAGTCAGACCTGTTTCCATAAATTACTCAATAATCCATAAACAGAAATGGAGAGAGAGGGTAACCCTGACGGACATCGCTTTCTGTGGTGAACTCGGGCGGAAAGGTGCCGTAGGCTTGGACTTGGTTTCGACTATTAATATAAGGGAATCGTAATATTGAAGTAAACTTCTCGGATGCACCCTTCAGGGAAAAAAGGGCACCAGAGTTTAAACCGGTCGAATGAGTCGAAAACCGCTTACAGATCGATGAAGACCGGGATGGTGGGTCTGAGAAAGAAATGTCTGTGTTCCACAATTCGGTCAAGAGTAAAACTGTCGTACAGCCTCGGTTGGATCTATATCCAGCCTGGTTATCACACGTGCACGGTTCACGTACGGCAGACGGAGTGTGATACCTGCGAGCAGTTTAGAGACGATGTTGATTAAACTAATTCCTCTCAGATTTCTAGAAGAGAACATATCAACTTTCTGGTTAATCGGTATGATAAGCATAGTGGATCCAGTAATTCTATCAATTTCGAAACCAAGGCTGAAGCTCTATTCCGAAAAAGCCGATGAGGATAACCCATCCGGATCGGGAGTCGTATACTTTGGAGACAACTTCATTCGTGTATGGCACAGAAACGGCTTAGCACCAAGGTCCGGTGGCGTTGGCACAGCTCGAGCCGCTCAGAACCAAAATACAGCAATCAGACCGACTTATACCCATGGATCACCACCACCCATTTAGGTGATACGGCCGACTATCGTAAACGGTACTACTTGTTTTTTGTTTCTCGCTTCACGTGCACATCTCATTTACCCGCAGTTCGGTACACGTCTCACCTTTCAATTCAGTCCACTGTTTTCTTGGATCCACAGCACACGTTAACCCCAGAGACAGCAACTAACCAGGGCAGGAAAGTAAAAACTTGTATAAACTGATAACTGAAACTCTCTCTAGTCTACAAACCGCGTCCGGAAGACATCTCGTAGTACCGCCAGCGTTTTTATACAGATTCACTCTAATGATCTACAATCAGGACAAAGAACGGTGATTGCCAACCGCATGCTGAGAATCACGATGACTCGTTGTTGCGAAGGCCCAATGAGACACACAAACACGCAGAGACGCACATGTCCAAACAACCAAACGTGCTGGCGTGTCATGTGGCTCCACTAAATAAATGCCTCGCATAGCTCACGTACATTGTCGCACGCTTATGAAACTAGAGAGAAAAAACATCCAACCAAAACAACAATGGCACACGTCTCCGGGACCAGATAAACAACGTTTATATAAGGTCAGAGCCTGCTAGTGATGGTACAGCATACTCGTATTGTAAACCGACTCCAAACCGTGTTAACCCATAATAAGTTATTAGAATACCGCTGATAGGAAAATCCTTCGACATAAATCGACTAAACATTGTAACGATACTCTAAACCAGACATAGAAACCTTATCTGTTGTCTACCTTCTTTCTGAACAACCACTTGGGAACCAAACCATTTTCGAATTGTGTTTCCAAGCCGTGGAATCAGGAACAAATAATGCATCTGGTACTCTCCTTCAACACGAGACATACGCCAGTGCTGTCACTGGCGTATTAATATTATTAACATTATTAATATTAATAGTAGTAGTAGTAGTATTGTTATTTTTACTAAGTCATTAGTCTAACGGTAGCGTTAAGGTGAAACACTAACACATAGATGACAGTGAGAAATTCAATGTCACTCAGGTGAAAGTGTGGCAAACTATTGCACTACTCATTTCTCATGACCAGCTTTCTCCGGGTAATCACTGCTGTGTATCGATCATCATCACGACTGAATCGGTTCACATGCTTGATTGGGGAAAACAATCGACACAGCTGACAATCCACTAGTACCAGACAGACTGGTAAACAACGACGTTTCGTCCCGGTGCTCCGGATGATGAGTTCGCGGTTCCCTTCCTCGATCAGTTAGCCCCACGTTTTGTTGTCTAGCTCACCGGTTCGAGCCCAGTGAGTTCACTAATTTTCACTAAAAAAAAACAGTTCGAGTGATATTTTTTCTGTGCTAGAGAAAACTGAACTGCTCATCAGAAGACGATATATAAACGCGCTGAGGACAATAAACCGCTCATAAAAGTACACTCCCATAACGATCATCAGTTTATTGACGCTGCAACATATGTCATAATTATCACGGTAAAGGTGTAATTATTACGGGCTTTGTCTATAGCTTCTTGGGAAACGGTGTTCTAAAGAGAGTCCTTTTTTTGAACAGTTTATATTATCCTCAACTTGTTAAGGTATCCACATCGCAAGAACAGAGTTCACTTTAGGTGGATACACGAAACGGTAGGCATATACCTTTTGATTTATTTCAGGGCTTGTGAATGCAAAACAATGTACCGTTTGAGTTACTTTCAAGATTTTTTCTCACATGAGTATCGCATTTTATAGGGAAACACTGTATCTGTATGAAATATGTCAAATGATTTGACGATACGGGCACATTGGTTAAACTCTTTATGATCAAACATATGTTGCACATGCAACCCCCACACTTTCTTATTTATTAACCAAGCTTTGCAATAGTAACATTTGTAGAAAATAGTTTTTTTTAAATCCGTTGACTTCCGGATATTCCGATACGTTTTTATCTGACTTGCTTATTGAGGCGTGACTGAAGTTTGTGCGTCGATGAAGTGTCAGCTCGCATACAGAAGGCTCGGTTGGCATTTGCTAACTTGAGACATCTGTGGCGCCGTCGCGACATCCGGCTGTCTGTGAAGGGTCGAGTGTATGCCGCGACAGTTCGGCCAGTTCTGCTATACGGTGCAGAAACTTGGCCATTAAGAAAACAAGATAAAGACAGACTATCGGTGTTTGAACACCGCTGTCTACGCAGCATTGCACGAATCTGGTGGGGTAGCCGGATGAGCAATGCTGAGGTTAGGGGCAGAGTTTTGGGTAAATACGGTCGCCCACTGGAGCAAGTGATCGACCTCCATAGATTACGTTGGTTGGGACATGTGCTACGCATGTCACCAGGTAGGTTACCACGGCGAGCGATGTTCGCCGAAGAAGATACAAAGTGGAAAAAAGTTAACGGTGGTCAAGTTAAGACCCGGCACGAGGGTATGAAAACCCTAACCAGGAAACTGGGTCACATAGGTCCTGTTAGGCTCCCCGGCTGGGGTCCTCGGGATGATCGTAACCGATGGTTAGAGACACTGAGCGATATGGCTGGGTGTCGTAAACAGTGGCGTTCGTGCATCTCCTCAATTTCTTTCCAACCTTAGACCACTGAACTTCTCCATTTTCTTTTCGAATCCACTTTCAACTTTCCTTTCTTCTCCTATTCTTCATCCCAATGGGCAGCCAAGAGACAGCAACCAAAACCGGCGCACGAAAGTGCATGGTTAGTGGTTGTTCAAACTGAACTGAACTGAACTGTGCGTCCAGAGGTTAAAGGACTACGGGTTTTGGCTAAAGGAATGTAGGTCAAGGCTAAAGGATTGCGGGTTTTGGCTACAGCTACAGGAAAAGGTGTAGTCACAGTTCACGGGAAAAAATGTGCCCATCGTTTTGGAAAAAAAAATTGATGCGAATTTATGTATTTTATGTGAAGCCACATTGTGGATGATCTGGGCCACTATCGAATAGAGAAGGTAGAAGCGGTTCCCGTGTAAAACTGAGTGAAAAGAACAATGGTAGCAAAGTAGAATTGCACATGGGATTGAAAGAAACAGATGGACACGTTAGAAAGTGTTGTGATTCGGTGGCCAAATCGACCTGCCCGCTTGCTTACCCGCGACAAAACCGCCCAGATGTGCGGAAAAACCGACACGTGATGCTTGCGGATTTTTCAAACGCGCGTAAATGGCAAAACCCGTATCTCCACCACCTGGATGAATGGAGTGGAGAATATCAAAGACAGATCAGCATTATTCGTGATACCACCGTGAACGAGTCCAGAAGGTAATATACATGTACCAGTGTCCAATAAGAGGAACAGATAGAAACAAAGCATACATTGAACGCGATCTTGGAAAGTGTGTTACTTAAACATCAAATTGCTAAGCGGTTCCGTCCCGACCACGTCAGATACTGTATGACGAGGAATTCAGATAAACTCGTATGAAACCCGTTAGACAAAATTTCACGAGACTCAGTAGCAGAACGAAGCCGGTAAAATGAGGGCAAAAAGTGAACTTATCTGAACGGGACTCAAGTGCGCTAATCAGCAAACGAAGGGTTAGATAAACAGACGAACA